AAGTGGTCATGTGGCAACCGTTCCACTAGAGGATCGTAAGACCGTCAATTCTGATTGGTATACCACCATTTGTTTGCCCGAAGTGTTTGGTGAAATAAGAAAAAAGAACCACCGTCGCAAAATAATTCTTCATCACGATAATGCGAGCTCTCACACATCTTTTCAAACTACTCGATTTTTGACCGGTCAAAACATCGAACTGATGGGTCATCCACCGTACAGTCCTGACCTGGCACCCAATGACTTTTTTTTGTTCCCAAGCGTGAAGAAAAAACTACGTAGTCAACGATTTTCGACACCAGAAGAAGCAGTTGAAGCGTTCAAAACACACGTTTTGGAGATATCAGTTTCGGAGTGGCACGAATGCTATGACAAATGGTTTCATCGAATGCAAAAGTGTATCGATCATCTCGGGGAATATTTTGAAAAACAATAAAACCATTTTCGACAAAAAACAACTGTGTTATATATGTTTTTAAAAAAAATTATGGAGCAACCCTCGTAATAATGAATTTCGTTTGATAATACCATATAGAAACATATGCAAATTGAATTTAGGTTCTGTTTTTTGAAGTGATTTTTCAACATTTTTCCCTCGCAGAGTAGACAAAAATCAATGCAATTTTTTCCACAACAGTCAATTGTAGGCAATAGATTAGATTTTCGTTAGTCTAATTCTGTTACAAAAACACATAGATTTGCTTAGAGAGAAATTATTTAAAGAACAACACTTTTCTTCTCAAAGCTTTGACTAAACGACATCATTGCAATGTTACACTATTTCTCAAGTGTTTAGATGATGATTCTTGAATAAAAAAAATGGAAAGAAAATAAAATGCATACCATTATTAATTAAGACGAAATAACTGTAAAATGCCTTAAACATTGTATATGTACACTGAAAAAATTTATTTAACAAACAAAAATGAATGTGACTTTTTTTGTTTGTATTTTTTTAGCGTCTTGACTCCTTGTATTGAAAATCAAACACCATCAAAATCTTCTATATTGGAAATGGTACTTTATTGAAACAAATTTTTTGGAACAACAGTGTGCAACTGATGTTCGATAAACAGGAAATTCGGTTTGGTATTTTGTTGTTTCTTTTTTTTCTGTTTTTAAACTAAATAAATCTTGATAGTAAGAAACTGATCCAGTTATATGTTAAATCTATCACTTGTTCTTTGTGAAATGTTGCAATCAAAGTGGAATAATGATGAGCTTGACAAATTATATGTTTAATGTCAATACAATTGGACAATGGTCACTACCAAGGATCTGTGGCCGTATGAAACTGTCAACAACTTTTGACTTCAAATTCTCTGAAACGATTGAATAATCCAGACGCCATCCGACATTCTTTTGACGAGCATTTCCCATGTAAGACCTTTTGGCGAGAAAGAATCAGTTAGATTATGCAAAATCAATCAGAATCATTTTATTAGTTTTTTTTAACGTACCAGAATGTGTATGCCTTGTCTTGCGTCGGGTAGATTTCACGGAACGTATCGACAAAACCGTGTCCAAGCAAGTTTGTCATGCCATTACGCTCTTGATCTGTGAAACCAGCATTCTTCCGATTTGTTTTCGGATTGGCCAAATCTGTATACATAAAAAATCACATTGAAATGATTTGAAATAAAAAAAAAAAATCATATTAAAAGAAGAGCGCTTGTTACCGATTTCTTCATGAGCAACATTCATGTCACCACAGATGATGACCGGCTTTTTTGCCTTCAATTTATTCACATGGTTTTCAAAAAGAGTGTTCCATCGCATGCGTCGTTCCAAATTGACCAATTTTCGACCGGCGTTCGGTACATACACGCAAACCAAAATGAATTTGGAATATTCAGCTGTAATAATACGTCCTTCTTCATCCATTTCTTCGTCGCCAATATTATTATCAACATGATACGGCATCATTTTAGACAAAATGGCTACACCACCGCGACCACCTAAATGTATTGGATACAAAAAAATGTAATAAAAAACATTTCAAACATGGATTTTTAACGCACCTGGTGTTGAACACCAATACGGATGATAGCCTTTCAATTTTGCCTCAGCGGGTACTTCTTCTTCCAAACACTTGATTTCCTAAAAAAGATACCAAATAAATTGACCAGAAGCCCAATGCGATTTCATTTCATATGTACCTGCAAGCAAATGATGTCCGGTTTTTCGTGTTCAAAATAATCAAAAGCATTTTTTCCAATCAATGCCCGTAGACCAGCCACATTCCATGAAACAATTTTCAGTGAAAACTCTTTCTCGCCTTCAAATTCGATTTGTGAGAGGTCCGTTGCCGTTGGATTCCTTTTTGTTTTTGCTGAGTCGGCTTTGGCATCCGATTTGGTTGATTTTTTACGCTTTGTCACCAATTCATCGTTTTGTTTGTTTGTTTGAGCCTCATCATTTGTGACAGCTTTGCGTTTTGTCGCTGTTTTCGATTCACTGGAACCATCGACAGTATCGACTGTAGCCGAATCGACGGTAACTTTTGCTTTCTTCGCTGTTGATTTATCAGCAACTGCTTTACGTTTGAAACTTTTTGGTGAATCAACATCATTGTTCGCTACAACATTCTCAACAACATCTAACTGTTCATCGTGTTTGGCTGATTTCTTTGTTTGTTTCACAGTGTCAGCTACTTTTTTCCCTTTGCCCTTTGCTGGTTGGTCACTTTTAACCGGTTTTTTTGGTGATGCTTTCTTTGCACCACGTTTACTGCTTTTCGTCTCTGGAACTGGTTCAATCACTTCATTGATCACGTCATCGTTTGTTGTCGCTTGTTTAACGGTCTTGACTCTTGTACTCTTCTTAACTGCTTTGCTTGGGCCCGCTTCATCGCTTGTTTCTGGTTTTGGTTCGGCCTTCTTGGCTTTAGCCTTTGGAGTGGCTTTGGTGGCGACTTTTGGTGTGGATTTGACGACTACTTTTGGTGCGGCTTTTGCAGTGACTTTCGGTGATTCTTCTTCCTTTTTCTTTCTTCCTCGTGCGCTCGTCTTTTTCTCACCTTCACTGGCACCGTTAACTGGCTCAACGATTTCTTTTTCCTCTGTCACATTATTCTGCTCAGTTGGCTTTGGATTTTTCTTGGCTGGTGCTTTCTTTGACTTTGCTTCAACCTTCACCGGTGCAATATTTTCATCATTTGTAGCACTTTCAATTTGTTCCGTTTGCTTTGCATTTTTTTTGGTCACTGTTGTCTTTTTTGCTTTAGCATCAACCTTAATCGGTGAACTTTTGTCATTTGCCTCGTTTTGTGCATCATTTTTCAACAAATTTTCGGTCTTTTTTTTCTTTGCTCCACCTTTTGTCGGCTTGCTATTTACTACTTGTTCGGCATCAGTTTCATTCGGTGCAACAACAACCGCTTCATCAATCGCACTAGCCGCTGCTTTCTTTACACGACGTGGTGCCATTGTCACACAATTTTTTTTAAATATAAAAAATTTATTTGCAAAAAAAAATTATTTTCACTTTTCCACAAAATTAATGGTAATTTAATTAATTTTCGGTGAATTGACACGACAAAATGACGATTCGCACAAAATACTTGTTTAAACAAATAAAATGCGTTGTTTCTATTCACAAGCGAACCAATTGTATGTGTAATCTCTCTTGTGACGAAGAAGCTAAAATGCCGCCAAACAAAGTGTGAATATGAAAAAAAAAACTCACGACACAAAACTGCCAATAGTTAACATACGAAAACTCAACTGAGTTGACATATTCGAAACAATCGACAGAGGGCATTGGCGGCACTATTTGACAGCTGAATAATAAACACACGAGAATTGTCAACACTTCAGTGCAAAGGAATTTTCTGATTTTTAAAAATTCAATTGATTTTCACTGAAATTAATAAAAATATGGATCATCCACGGGCGTGCGGTTGCAAAGGTTGCCGAACCTGTTTGATATGTGAAAAGGAATTTAATTTCGAAGAGAAACCATTTATAACTGAATACAAAGTAAGTGTCTGTCATGAACACGTTATGTTTACAATAGACAGAGCATTTTTAAGTTTATTATGTTTTATGACTTGTTTTCTTCCGATAGAATTTGGACAATTACGTATTTTGTTATAAATGCAATAAAATCTATGTTGGTCACGATGTTACCGCCACCATTGAATCTCATGTTAAGGACCACGATAAACAAACCGGCATTGATTTCCCAGGTGTTTTTGTATTGCCGGACTTTATTTCGCCGGTCGAAGAAAATGCATTAATGAAGGGGATTGATGGCCTACCATGGGACATATCTCAAAGTGGCCGACGCAAACAGGTGAGAAATGAGATTTCAGTGCAATTCCAAATGATTTTTGTTCTGATAATTATTTGTTTACATTTTCATGCATAGAATTATGGGCCCAAAACGAATTTTAAGAAAATGAAATTGGCGCACGGAGCGTTTAGAGGTTTTCCGGAATATTCGAGATTTGTACAAGAACGGTTTCGAGATGTTCCACTTTTGGCTGATTTCCAAACGATTGAGCAATGTTCTTTGGAATACGATCCAGAGAAGGGAGCGTCAATTGACCCACATATCGGTAAAATAATGTTTCTAATTGGATAAGTCAGTCGAAAATGGTCTGTTAACATTTTCTTTTTTATTCGTAAGATGACTGTTGGATCTGGGGCGAACGTGTTGTTACGGTGAATTGTTTATCAGATTCCGTGTTGACACTAGTGAGGTGTGTGTCTTTTTGTGCATATTCTAATAAGATTCCTCTATCCCATTCTGCTCATATCATTTCAGATACACCGGAGATGTAAAACGCTACAATCTACCATTGGTCGAATCATATTCATCGCATTTGAGATCATCATTGGCCAAATACGATGATTTGAATCAATTCAACAATATGTTAATAAAAATACCAATGCCAAATCGATCGCTAATCGTTTTATATGGATCACCACGCTATCAATTCGAACATTCAGTTTTGCGAACGGATATCACGTCACGACGAGTTTGTATTGCGTATCGAGAATTTACACCAATGTATTTGAGCAATGGCGAGAGTTTTGCACACAGTGTTCCAATTTTTGAAACGGCCAAATCGTTTTGGACAGATGATATTCCTGTAAAATGAATTACATTCATTGAAAAGGTCCAAACGATCTGCTGTATTACACATGTACATTGATTCAACATTTTAAAGAGTAAGAATGATTTTATGTAATTAACCGTACATCGGTATGAACAGAAATTGATTTTTTTTAAATAAATATTCAAAATCTTTTTTCACACATTGGTTGATTTTTTGACACGATTGATAACGAATTAACGAAATGCAGTTGCTAGACTAATGGCCATGTTATTATTATTGTAATTTCCATGCTGTTTAACCTTTTCACATGGAATTATTTCTTTGGATACATAATGACTACCTTTCTCGTCCTTATCGACCAAATGAGCTCTAGATTCTTATCAACTATCAAAAATGGGGCAATAAGAGTTTATCAATGAAAGTTTATACCGTTAAATATATCGTGTGTGTCAGTAGTTACACCAGAACGCTTTTTTCTGGTCAGTAGTTCAAAGTTTTCATACGAACAAAAAAATCATTTCAGTGGAACGTATGGTTACTGCGCACTCGATAAAATTGATCTTATCACCTATTTACTATGCTTGGTCGTTAATGAGTCAATAAAAGTTAGAACAATATGGTCAATTTCATTTATCATTATATCCACATGTCGTGTGATACTTGGTCAGAACGGAACATTGTCGTTCAAATAAAAAATGGTAAAAGTAACGTCCGTTCAAACTATTTCGGGTCGAGTTCAAAGCAAATGGATGAAAGTGAAAAAAGTCCACGTGAACTCTCAATCGAAAATTGGAAAATGTACAAAAACTGTGCCAGAAGAATCATGTCTTGCACGACGATTCAAAGAATTTGCATCAAATACAGCACTACATGGATATAATCATATTGTGCGTGAAGATTCAACAAAATGGGAGCGGTAAATTGAATGAATGTTATAAATTCTTATTAAAATTGATGTGTAATCGCATTTCTTTCAACTGCAGCATTGCTTGGATTTTAATTGTTGTTATAGCAACAGTAGTGGCAGCTGTTCTCTTGTACATTTCATGGCAATTGAATTTAGAAACGCCAACTATTACTGTAATCGAAAGTACTCATTACCCGATATCGAACGTACCCTTTCCGGCAGTTACTATTTGCAGTATGAACAGCATATCGGCAAGAACAGCAATGAGCTTGGCACTAAATATGAAACGACCAAGTGATGTGTCAGCCGACAGGCTCTCGAAACTGTTTCAATTGGTCTTACATTTTCAGGGTGTTGGAGAAGCTCGTAAAGAAGATTACAATCTGTTGCACAATATTTTACAAACAAACCAAATGAGTGTCGTTAATTTGACCAGCGTCCTGAAGCCAAAGTGTACAGATTTATTGAAAAATTGCCGCTGGAAAGGCACTGAGTCGCGTTGCGAGGAAATTTTTCAATCGATTAATACAATTGAAGGAATTTGCTGTTCATTTAACTACTACGGATTGACGACGAACAATTTTGCACCGTAAGTTCATAGGATTAGGGATTAACTATTTTCATCAATTTGTAAGTTATATGGCTTAGAAAAGCTACGGTTCAAAAGATTTGGTCGAAAACAAAGTCATGCACTCAACGATTAAATATTCCAATTAAGCTTTATTAGTCATAAACATTTTTCATTATCTCTCTACAGTAAAGTTGCTCAGAAAAGGCCAAAAGAGCCACGTCGAACATCGTCGTGTGGCTATCAAACTGGTTTAACCGTTATTTTAACTCCAATGAGCGATGATTATCACAGCAGTTTCTTCAGTAGCTACGGAGTTCGTGTATTAGTACATGACCCATACGATTTTCCCGATGATAATGCTGAAACGAAAGCAATAAGTAGAAAAATGATTGCATTTGTGATGGTCTATCCAGAAACAACATACAGCACGTCTGCCGTTCGTAGTTTATCGCCGGATGCAAGGTATTGCTATTTTCATGATGAACATCGTCTCAGTCATATGCAACGCTATTCCTATGTGAATTGTTTGGCTGAATGTCGAACGGAAATTGCTTATCGATTGTGCGGATGTGTACCATACTTTTTACCCAACAACGGTTCCTATCGTGTATGTGAAATGAACGAAATGGAATGCGCACGGGAAAATCGGCCAATATATTTTGGAGCATTGCCTGGACTAAATAAAACGATTGTTGGAACGGCTGAACCAAGTATACAACATACACCATGTAATTGCCTTCCTGATTGCCAACTAAATCAATATCCTACTGAGATTACATCGGCACACCTAAATCGTTCATATTCGTTTTCACGAATGGGACTATTGTATGTTTTCAATGTTATTTCAGTTTACCTCTTTTAGTTCCATGCCGATTTCATATAAAACTTTTTTCATTTCAGCAAGGGCATTAATATCACCGATCACACCTCTCTTACCGTTTTTTTCGGTGATCTCGTTTCAACACATTATCGAAAGGATATATATCAAAATTGGCTTAGTTTATTAGGTAGACAGAAACATTTCTATGACATTTCGTCGACTTGCAATGACGTCAATTACGTTTCATTTTTTTAGCTTCATTCGGCGGCATATTGGGTTTGTTGCTGGGCTTTAGTTTTGTTGCTGGGTTCGAGCTTATTTATTTTTTCACAATTCGTGTGCTTTTCGATCGATGGGCGAGCAGAAAAAATAAAGTCACTCATTGGGCCATAAAATAAAGTCTTAAGATAAGATATTGAAAGGACATATGCATCGCCTTTAATTAGCATGATAAAATCAGCAAAATAAACAAGCTTTGTGTTAAATTACTCATAATTAATGAATGAACGAATAAACTATTATTATAGGCATTTAAATCATTTTTCTTTGCGTTTTGGGTCTAGAGAATCACAGACAGAGATGTAAAGTTCAGGCACATCCTTGTGTGCGTGTGCTAGCTAGCTATTTATATCAGCTATTGCTTTAGGGATATATAAATAGGATATATTTAACGCATCCCTTCGCTTGGACGCTGTGTATGCTGGACATAATAATGGTCTCATTGTTTGAAATTTTCAAAAACTAAAAATTCTCTAATTTGAATACCAAATTTTGTTTTTTTTTTGCTCTTCACTTTTTTGGCGAAAATCCCTAGCAAATTCGAATAATTTCGGCGTAAAAATTTCTTCTCGCCAATATCACAGGGCGGTAAACCCCCTCTACCCCCTTCTCACATTACTGCTATATGATGTCATAAGGATGTGAAACTTTGCATAAATTACTTTTTTAGGGGTAACACTTCAGGGGGGTAATCGGACCCCTGCTGAGTACGTTTAAGATTTTTTTTTACAATAGAACATTAATTATAAAATTAAAATTTTCATCGAATTCCTTTTCATAAAAATAAACTCAAAAATATTACGGCTCGTGCTGGGGGGTAGACACTATCATGACTACTACGAGTCATTTTAAATTTCGCCAATTTTCACCAATCTTTTTCAACATTTGCTAATCAAATCTCTCAATGAATTGCAATCATGTCTAATTTTACCGATCTTCACCAATCTTGAACAATTTTTATCAATCTTTATTTATATTTTCATAAACAAATCTTTTCCAGTCAAAAATCTTGTATCTACCCTCTAGGGCTCGTGTAGTATGGAAAAGTTCATGTAACTGTTGTATGACTCTTAAACTTTTTTTCAGCTATTTTTTGAAGAAAATAAAAAGTATTTCCCATGAAAGCTTCCTTTTATATTTCCCTTTTTCCATAATTTTCTGCAAAACTTTTCGGATCTCAGCACCAGATTAATTTGTGACTTATCGATTTCGTACTTAACGAAAAAAAAACTAGGAAATAAGTATGGTTGTTGGTTCAAGATATCGTTGCGGCCAATCCATGCTGTGTTGCTAAGCCTTCAATGTGATAACCGATTGAGGTAAACCTTTTGCTCGTATTTTACGCGAATTAATGCGCCTTCTGCATTTTCATTTTCCGTTTTTGGCTGCCATTCGAATCAACATGCACAGAGATTTAATAGCGGCGCTAACAACATCAAGTATGTAATTCAATTGATTTAAAGTGGCCTTATAAGCCTTACTACTGAAATTATGGCTTTTGCCTAAATCCTCTCCATCGCAACCAATATATGCGCCGTACGCTAGTGAAAATGGCAAAAAAAACACTGTAGATTTAATGTGCAAAACGAAAAAAGATTTGTCGAAAATTCGTAATATTTTTCGAGTAAGTAGAAAATTGAAAAACTTAGAACGAAGCAACTGTAAAGTGTGTTGCTCTCCAGTCAAAATGGATACTGGTGCGGTTTACATGGTTTAAGAATGCTTCGGGCGATAACTGTAATGCAATTTTAATTGAATAAGTTTGCTGTAGATTGCAGCATTAGCTGAGGGTCCTGGGTGTTTAAAAAATTGCAAATAGTGTATGTACGTGACATGTTTTAAAATAGCGAATGAAATTCAATTAAAAATACGTTTTTAGCAAACTAATGCATTTAATGAAAATTCTCATGTAATAAGTGGGTTTATTAATTTTTGGTAATTGCATCTTGTACCACAACCACACACACACACACATACACGCAACACCATAAACGCATAAACGCAATGTTGTGGATTCATCTTGACATAAACCACAATCAGAATTACAATGTTAATTCAAATGAATTGATATGATTTCGAAATGTATGTACGCCATAAATCGCATACTCTTACTCACTGTGCACGGTGTACATGTTTCTCCGGCATCGAGGGAATTTACGTTTTGCCGTATGAAAAACCAAATAGGTACAAATTGTGTGTGCATATATATAGTTATGCGAGTAGTGTACACATGCTGTGGGAAAGTGCCGATTCCAAAACAGCTTGCGCATGCCACCCCAATCACATATACATGCACTCCATGTTCAAGTAGGGGGAAAATATAGCAACCGAACAAAGACAACTATACAACTCGGCTCTTTGGTGGCACAAGAGGGATGAAATTGATGTGAAAAGGACGACAATAGAAAACAATACTTGCTGACTCCGTTCAAGTTAAAATGTCGCCAGTATCAAATGCCATAGTGTATTTTTTCCATTTAAAATAGGATAAATGTTGATTAAATTTCAACGTAATTTCATGTTTGGTTCGATTCCATTCAGTGAGTTGTCTGCTGGCGATGTATAAACTTCGTATTATCTGCCCACAAATCAATTTTTGATTCATTTAATATGATCTACATTCATTCGTTGAATGGATGATTTGTGATTTTACGCGAGTATTGTGTAGATTTTTTTTGTTGTTATCGTATTCGTTTCCTTTGAAGTGAGTGCTTCGGAAAGTGAATTTTAAAGACAATTCATAAAAGCAAAATAGCAAAAAAGAGAAACAACAGCTCAAAGGAAGGAACGTCTCGTTCTGAGTGTACGGATTCATGTGTCAAGTGAACGAACGGTGAATTTTGGTGTGCAAGTTTCATTTTTGTGTCGAACGTGTCAAGTATTTAATATAGATTTTCTTTCCTGCCATTCAAAAGCTTCACAGCAAAAAAAAAAGGTTCGTATGAGTAGGCTGCTGCTGTTGTGGCTACTGTTATTTTATTTTTATTCATGACATTTTCTATACATTCTGTCATGTTGCATGGAATGAGGACAGAAAAATGGAGAGAAAATAAATTATGGCAAACAGAACAGTCGGCCTTTTTTCGAAACAAAAAAAAATGGATTCTACATCGTGTTCTACTGTTCGGATTCATTTGTATTGATTAATCAAAATCGTTTTCTATGGATTATTTGTGTGAACGCTTTTTTCCATATACATTCATAATTTGTCGAAAGAAAAGAAGAGAAAGTGGAGAAAAGGCGAAAGAGAAGATGAGCGCGGGCTCAAGAGTCAAGGAGGAGCGTGGGCTCAAGAGTCGCCATCAAAGATCAATTTTATTGGTTTTGCTTTCATTCAATTTCGTCATTTTTCACTATCGTCATTTTCACTAACAGAAGACTGTTATTCTGTTAACAACAAAATGTAAAGGAAAGAGAATGTAATTCCCACAAAATCACCAATAAATTTACCATTTGGCTTTGTCCGTGACGTTCAATGCTACGTAATAAACTGTCAATTTAACTGTTGGGTCATAAATTTCGATTTATTTGCTGATATCGTCATTCTCGCATATTAGAGACATTGCTGTCATTTACTTTAGACCATTTTACCACAATTGACCAAAATAAGTTTCCGATGGCATTGTTTTAGTTGGAGAGTTTTTAAATTTAATAATAACGTTTTAAATTTCAAAAGTTTATGGTTGGTAATTAAACTATGTCACTGTTATTTACAGTATCGTTGAATTCATTTTAGTATCCCTTTGCTACCAAGAGATTCTTTCACTGTCACCGACTCTAATTTGATCAATTAAAAAAGTCCCCAAGAGATTCTTACATGTCTGACTTTTAAATAGAATTATCGCATTATGTAGATTACGATGGTAAAATTATACTCTCTCTCTTCTGTCACATTCATAATTTGTATCTTCTTTTTTTAAATAAAAAATCTAGAATTGTGCCATGCATACATGTAATTTGCATAAATGTCATAAATCTTCAGACCAAAACAAAAAATGCTCACTTCTGAACAAAAATGCTCACTTCTGACATAGATCATTACAATAAATTCTCCAAAAAAAAAACTCTTTACTTAACATTTTTGTTGAAATGGAATTCGTTAGACTGCGGCAGTCAGAAGTGGTTGGGCCACAGTTGGTTAAATCATGTTATAATAAAAATGAAGTTTTCGTGTGTTTCGCTGTCAAACATTTGTGCACATCCCAAAAATAAACCATTCAGCTGAAATGAATGCGAAACGAAATGACGCACATGAAAAATACTCTATCTGTATAAATGCAAAACAAAATGCCATCAAATAAGAAAAAAGAGAGAGAGAGAAAAAAAAATTGGAAAATATCACCACAGTCTACAGCACAGATACATGCACACACGAAAATCTTCAATTCCACATAATTGTTGGCCGGAATACGTTTTTTCCATGCACAAATACCATCGCGTTTCGCATTGTTGGGGTGCGTGCGTGTGTATCAATGTTTTGCGTTTAATATGATATCCCAGCACAAATGGCAAATATATTGCAAAAAGCCGTCATTCAATCGCAAATACAACATGTTTGTCTGTATGCCGTGCCACACATTGCACGTAAATTTAAATCGTAGCGTGTACACAACAATCATAATCGTAAATTGTTCGAATGAACGAATTGCATGGCACCTACGAAATCGAAGACGTACCAAGTCAGTCTTCTTACTTCATTAAACCAATTTTTCAATTCATGAACGGGAAAAACAGCCATTTGTTTCACACACATTTTCTATCCACACACGTTCCATTGCTACTACCCCACATTTTAGAGCGAGCAAACCAGAACAGCTATATTGCCGTCTCATATCGGGTGACGGAGCTTGCGCAATACAGTATTTTTTTTGTTCTTTTCTTGTCTGTTTATTCCGGGATTACGTTACGTTGAATTCGTGCTACCAACTTGAAGTGCTGAAAAAAGACGAAATCATTTCGCCATCCAGTTGCGAATCAGCCACCCTACGGCTATGTTATGTGTATTTAACAGTAATTTTGTGCTTTGTTCACAGTAAATACGATACGAGTGTTTGTAAATAAATAATAAAATAAACTTTTTGTAAAAATAAATGAAGTGATTGAAATCCTTTGGGTCAATCAATTGAATTTGGTACAAAGACGATTAAATAAAGTGGGGTTGTAAATACAATTGAATCGAGACGCATTCCGACACCACTGAAACCATGAAACCATGTTGAGGTATTTGCATCAAGGATTTCTATTGTAAGGACTGACACCAAAGGCGAGAATATTAACACTCAATGTCTCTTACGGACGAGAACAACAACAAAAATTAACCACTTTATTAATCGATGGCATTTTCTTCAATGTCTTATTCATGTCATACTTTAATTAAAAACTTTTCGCAAATGAATGATTGTGCATTGAAATTGAGTGTGCAAAAATGTCAAACGCGTCGTAAAAATCAATAATCGTTATATAATATGCAGTAAACCGCATAAACGAAATCCAAAAAGGAAAACGAGAATAATAAAAAACTATATGAAGGGAGAGAAAGCTTAACCAAACCGACACCACTGACGGCGGAAAATAGTTTTTTTTCCACCTCTTCTTCTTCTTCGTCCATATTCTATCCCCCAAGAGGTGGTTTTTTCTCAGCCATAAAAGCTGTGTACATGTCTTTATCTCAATGCTAAGCGCTGCATTTTTCATTCAATCTTTTCCACGCCTTACATAAGCAGACACACCATTTGTGTTGAGTCAACATAGACGTTGTCTGTTTCCTGTTTTGCGTTGAATTTTTGATTGGCTTTTTCGCTTTACATTTTGACTTTTTCGCTTCCGTAATTCAATTTTCCGTTTGTTGTTGAAATATTGGAAAATTGATGTCATTTCACTTCCCGAAATCAATGATTATGGTTCGCGATGCAGTGCAGCAGGTTCAAAGTAATGCAAGGACATGAATGCAACAAGGTTTCGATTAGTTTTTTATGTGCCAGCCGCGCCGCACAACAGACATCAGACTTTGAAGTGCCATTTATAAAACATTCGCATCGCAGAAAAAAAGTCCGTGAAATTCCACCATTTTGCCAGTGAGCAGCAGTCAAAGTGGCAATTTATTTCATTTTTTTTTGTGCACAGCATCGTCCTAGCGCAACATGAACATATTTGCCAATGTTTCATAAAAACCGCGTTGAACAGGCGACTTAATTTAATTGAATCCATCAAACGGACGGTGAAAAATAAAACATACTGTTAAGCCATTGCATGACCCATATCAAGTGCAATTTTCATTTTTATTACTTGCGACTAGCTCGGTCGCTTTTTTTCCACATACATTTTCCGAGTGTGGTCATAAAATAATAATAGTTTGAAAATAAATAGCAAAACATGGTTAAAAGTGTATTGTTTTCCTTGTAATTTGAGCTTAACAAGCAGAAAAAAAGTGTTTTTCTCATTTCATGTTGTCCCTCGTCGATTGTATTTTGTATTCAAAACATTAAACAGCAGCAATGCATTTTTATCGAACGAAATGAATAATTTTCCATTTAAATTCCAATTTATTTCAGCGAACAGCAATATGCGTTTGTACGAATCGTTGAGTTATTTGAACAACAACAACAACAATAATAATCACGCCAACGATAACAATAATATCGATCGCGGTTGCCACTCAAATGGTAATACCGTGAAAACGTTCACATCGAACGGAAAACATCAATCAAATAACGACAGCGTAATTGGTACAGCACCAAAAACGGCAACCACCACCACGGCATACTTTGAATGCAGCGATTCGATCGGAAGTGATGTGCTGAATTCAACCCGAAATTGGCAACTGGAAACGGAGTTCAGTAAGGCATTAGCGGCATTAAATGAAACGTATTGTTTTTATGGATCGCAGAGAAAGCTGAAATCACGAGAAAATCTTGCTACAACTGATAACGATGATGATAATGCGAATGGGAATGATGTGAATCACAATGAATCTTTAGATTTGACAAAAGACACCGTCGATTTGATTGATGATTCATCTTCGGATATTGAAGCGGAAGTCAATCGATTGATTAATCGAAGCAATTTATGTCGACAGAATTTCGAATCACATCAAATCAACGCTCCCAATACAGAGGAGCAACTTATGGATGAAGAAGGTAAACACAAATCAAACGAAGTTTTATTTTCAAATTTACATTTAAAAGAATTTTTTTGTTTTTCTTGCAGAAGAATTTTCATCATTATCGATTTCAGCGTCGTTGAGTGCAGAGAAATCACCATATCCACGTGGAATAATAAATCCAAATTATCCCGGTTTCCAACATTTAGCCCATACATTGTCCGAACACTTTGTTGATCATCACGCAAATCAAATTGGCAGCATGTCGGACAGTGATTTTTCCGAAGTTGACAGTGATTTTCCAAGTGAAGGACATAGTACGGAAAATAATAATACATTTGCATGTGGTGACGATTCAAATGGAAATAATATTGTTGAAGAGAGTGTTACGCCGACATCAAAAAATGACAATTTAAGCACAGTTGAAGAGATTTTGCGCACCGTTTTTGAATCAAATTCATGCCATTTGTCGACGGCCATTGAAATGTTTACCGAAAAGGAATTGGCCAATGAACAAACGGACATTGATGCAATGGATTATTGTATAACCGATATTGATGCATGCGATTTAAAAACGTATTTGGAACATTATGATGATGGTGGAATTAATATTACAAATATTGAAACTTTTGCTAAGAAGATTGATTCACCAACCACAAACGAACCAGATGTTATTAAAAAATCGAATTCATGCGAAAAAGGCTTTGAGCAGCAGAGCGTTGATAAGCCGGATATTTTGCTTGATGTCACTGAGCCGGTGCCATCGAACGGGGAAAAGGAAGAGCCAAGCGCATGGAGCATCACTCCGGTTGACATTGTTGGCAATTTTGAACAAGAAGTGGAAAGAGAACTTGGATTATTGGTTACGGGTTATAGAAGCAACAGTTTCTCACAAGATGATGGCGATGTAGTTGATGCATCAATTTCCAGCAAAGAAACGAATGACAAATTCATGGACAAGGTACGATTTTCTTTCCTTTCTTTTTTTTCACTTTTCCGGTACACACCTAGTGAGCAAGGGAAATGTAATGTTTTTTTCATCAAATGATGGATAACTTATAGAAAAACTTAATCTTAACAAATAAAAAAAAAAAACCTTTATTTCGCCCTTCTTCTAGATAACCGATGCAGTTCTATCAAATGCTCATGATATGCTATCAAAAGCATCGGTTTCGGCATCAAAAGATGGTAAGCAATTAATTAAAGAGGATTCGATGGCAAAAAATCAAATACCAACGGCAATTGTAAAGCCAAAATATCAGCGATCATCGTTCGATGACCGACAGCTGCCAACCGTTGCATACATGAATGAAGACAAAGTGGCTTGGTATGACAAACAATCGAATAACGCTCAAACGGAACCGATGATAAAATGTTCGGCTTCAGTGACGGTAGCAACACACCCAAAGAAAATCCATTTGCCAGAGTTTGATCGCAAAGCAAAAAAACATATGACTAGTGCGAAATCCGCCCACAATTCAGCTGTAGATGAGAATACAATTGCAGCACACAAGACCAATGAAGCAGTAACATCAGCAGCAGCAACGATAGACAATACGAAATGCTCATCAGACGGAAAAGAGTCGGTTAGTTGTGCGGACACAAATCGCAAAGTTGTTCATAAATCGAAGAAAGCAAGTGTTGCCATTGTACAGCCACGTAAAAAAGAGCGTATGGACGAACGTACACTGATGGAAACCATTGTGCAAATGCAAATCAAGAAAAATGCACTATTATACCGGGGCCAAGGCAATAAATTTAATAATAACAACAACAATAAACCAACAGCAAATACAACGTCATCACCAACCAATCCGACCAACGGCAATGTAAAGCATTTCAATAACAACAATAATGGCGAAAATTGCACAAATTCCGAACTCAATCAGGCGAAAAAAGATCAAAAAGAGCATTCAGGTAATTGTCATAACATCATTTAAAATATTTAAAATATTTAAAATATTTTTATAACATAAATTGACTCTTCATTTCAATAGGTTGCTTTGATGTCTACAATATCGAGACAGCGCTTCCGGTTATCGATTTGGAAACCATTGCAAATCATCTGAAATTGGTGAAGGAGGACGATCGACGCGTATGTATTTCATTTTTCATAATATTATTGAAAGTGATTTCAAGAGCTTCGGAACGTTTCTAGTGGACTATCAATTAAAAATACCATTATTATCAACAAAACTGTACATGAATAAGTTTATATATTATATCTGGTGTGAATTGTGCTGTGTTTTTTATTTTTGAGCAATGTTCGCGCACGCTTTTGATAGATAATGTACGAATGCGGTGATTGTGCTATACCGTCTGGATCATCGATGAAACCAGTTCACTGTGATACATTTTCTGCTTGAGTAATCAAGCATTGCACCGTAAATACACAGAACGAGCGGTATTATCTGGAATATGACGGCAAAACAAAACAGCCAACACTCTTACGGTCAATATTTACATTTAATGAGACAAAAAAAAAGAAGTTATTACCCAATGCCGAATGTTCTATTTCAATATTCCATTTTTGAAGCGATCGGATTTATTTTTCTAAGACGCTTTCTGAGTTTTTTAAGTAAAAATCACTAGTCGAGTTATTAACGACTGTAATCCCATTACTGCGAGTTCGCACAAGAAAATGTATAAGAATTTAAATCAGAATTTAACCTTAATTGAAAATCCGTACGGAAAGAGTGTCGAGTGATTGAAAATGTAGAAAATTAAGTTTTGAAGTAGGCGTCGTTGATTGAATGACATGCGTTTGATTTTCTTATGCTTCAAATCTTTGATTACTACATTCAAGCGGAAGAGAGCAAAAAAGAGCACGTACAAAGCGAGTAAAAAGTCGCGACTCTTTTCCGTTAACTTTAACACCGCAAGAAACAATTATTTTTTTTCGAACGAACAAAAGACACAAATGGTAAAAAAATATCATCGCGTGTATTTTCTGTGTATAGTCGAATATCTACAACATTCAACCGATCGTCAAATACATACAAATTGATCATTGCAGAATTTCGACTTTCTCAATTAAATAACCTTCATGACCAACATACACAGTAATGATTCGGTTGTTGTTGTGGTTGGTTGTTGTTGCTATTTTTTTTATTGCTCGCACTGCTCTAAACCATTCTTGGCGTCTCATTCGAATCAACGGCAACAATCAACAAAACAAAGAAATACACTACTCTAGTAACACAACAATTCCGTCGTAATGATCGTATATGATGTTTGAAACGCTTCGTGGCACGATCCATTCTCTGTTGCCGCTGCTATATTGCTTCGAAAAACACAACACAAAGAGCGCTCTTTACATGCCACAATATGGCCAGCGATTGTAGACTCGCGGTGTCAGTCACAGTTTGATTGGTGTTTCAATCGCAACGCGTTTTACAAACTTGCGAAAAAAAATACGCAAATTAAAAGAGAAAAATAAATTCCATTTTGGAAAGTTTCAGTTTTATAACTTCAACTATGAGAAATATATTGAAGCGATAATAATGTAGAAATAAAATTGGTGCTTAAATTAGTTGCAATTCTGCTGAATGGAGAATATTAAGTTGTGGCTCAAAGCAGAAAATTGAATTCAAATACGAAGTTGTTATCTAGCCAAATTGAAATTTTGTAAAAAATAAAGATCACCAAGTCAATATTCATCGGAATGATCAAAGTAGAAAGAAATTCAATGCTAAAACGGTGTTTATTTAAGTATCATTGAACAAAGAAAATTAATCGGTGGCTGTGGAATGTTTCAAGAGTGAATAAAACATGTGTGCTGCATTTTATTACGAGAAAAGTGGTCCAAATTTTGCGATCGGTGAATCGATAAATGAACCAACGTCATTGTGTTCGCTTCCGTATTCGTTTGATAAGCGACACTATAAGAAAGACTCACGTTTTGTAAACGATCTCTACACACTGACCTATGACGATCACGAAAGTTTGGACAGTGTTCGTTTGTTCAGTACATTTGCAACACAAGTAAGTGATTTTTTTTTACAATTTCCATTGTTCACTTTTCTCGGGCGGAAATAGTGCGGTGAAGTCAGGTGCTTTGTTATTTTTCGACAATTTCCGACGCACAAAAATGTAATAAAGAGTGAATGCGTGACACACGAGTGTTGTTTTAGAAAGTTCAGTTTTATCTCGTTGTGCACGATGTAATACGCTCGATCGTAACATCAACAATTGTATCAAATTCTCAAATTCAAACCGAATTGGTTACATCAATCTGGTTTTTTCTGTGTCATTGCAAGTTTTTTGCTGCTGTTTTTGTGACTATGATGACAATTCGTATTTTTTTCGTATATACAAAAAATAATAATGAGTGATCTTAGCTTCTGTTCGTCAAGAATTTTACTGAAGCGAAACAAATTTGCGTGATTTCGCGTAAAACCTTGAGAAATTCGTTGGAATGACAGACGTTAAAAAGCGCGTTGCAATTTTGTAAAAAAAGAGAAACTACAAAAAATGTAATGGTTAAAGGTCGATTCCGTCAGTTTCCAAAGTCAGCATCAAAACTATCTTAATTCGGCAAATGATTGAAATGTTAAGTAGGAAAACATCAATTCGGCTTGGATTCTGTTCAAGCAGCTGATCTTGAGCTGTTGTAATAAAGCGAATGAACTATGCGGAACGAATTTGTTTGCATTATTTTCATCGCTTAAAATCAACGGACATTTTATGGGCAATATAGATCGACCATTTATTATGGCTGTTGCTCAATGAATAAAACATTACATACTTTTATTATTATTTTTTTATTTGCCCAATAGTCGGAATTGAACTGAAACCGAATGAATGAACAGCAATATCGAGCAATATGATTCATGGAGTGTTTATCTAAGAGATTTAAAAACGATATTGAAAATTGTTTTTTCTTTATATTACATCCAAAGATCAACTTTGTTTCGATTATTATATCTTTTTTCAGCTTTTCTGCTGATATTAAGTGTAAACACAATGTACCGAAAAGAGAATCCATGCAACGAACACAAGTACTTTGTTTGAAATTGCTTACAAAACAATTTCGATGGAAGTGCACAAAGTAAAGGAATGAAAATCACTTCGACACACACACACAAGTACACTGGTCGTAATCAGAGCCCCTTTGCCTCATTTCAACGAAGTATCATTGCCATTCATGAAATGTTTGAATTTTTTTGCTCACGTACACATTCACAAGGCGATTGAGTTTGGTGCCTTTATTCATTCTTCCTGAAGGTGATAACTATGCTTCACTGTCGGTAAATGTTGCTTGAGAAACGCACAACTACACATACACACACGCACAGACAACGAACTATATGAACGAAAGCATATCGAAAAGAATCACATCTGTCGTTCCGTATAGCACTGAAGGCTCTATTTCGTCGAAACAAATCGAGCAGCTGTTTGTTTGGTGTGCCTGTTCAGTTCCTTGAAGACTGTTCAATATGAACATAGTGCGCTTGTTGCGCTTGTGACGCATTCGTAGCATTTTTGCATTCCTTAACACCAATAAATAAATACATTGTGTTTAATTAAGTGAAATTAATATGTAATTTTATCTCGATATAACGCCAACGTAATTAAAAATTCATTCGGTTTGCATAAGCATTTTGTGCCATAAAAGTTATTAAGAGCTATTGCGTAGCTCACAAATAAATAAGAAAATGCTCGATAACATTATCGTGAATATTAGAACGATTTTGCCGATAGCAAAAGCAAACAATAAACGAGATGATACACTCGGCGGAAATTATGCAAACGAAAGTGCCATCGCATTTCTTGAACAGAGTTCAAATCGTGACTATTCAAGTGATAATACAACCGATCAACGAACAATGTTGAATGCGGTTCGATCATATTTCAGTCAATTATATCGGAAAAAACCCGCATCGGGCCATCACGATAATGATATGTTACCAAGAGTGTTCAATTATACGGATCTGCAAGTCGATTGGGATCCCATCGAATTGAAGACAAAGGAAAAATTCATCGAAGACTTTGACAATGTGATTGAGAAATTTCTACGCGTTATTAACGTTAACGACACCGATTTATCGCAACGGACTGGACTATTTTATGTATATATTACTTTAAATGTTCTTTTGTTTTATTCATGTGAACTCGGTGTTCAAATTGAGGCGCAATTCAATTGAAATTTTATACGTCGTGCAAATCGTTATTTAAAATTTTAAATTTCTTTAAACCTTCTTTGTACACCCGATTGAATTTTGATGACTTACTAGCCATTCCGTTGCTTTAATTTAATAATGCGCATTTTATATTTCGCAGAAACGAAATGATCGCGAAGAAATTCGACGCCGTTTGGCGATGGGCGCCGAAGATGATTACTTGACGAAAATTCAAACGACAAAACCAGCACGCAAACCAAGCCTACAGACACGATTGCAAGAAGGTAAACATTTCAGTTTGAAAAATTTATTGTCTCCAGTTACAATTAATATTGAATTTTTTTAGGAAAAAATCTTCAAATTTGTTTCGTTAATGATGCAGCTGCAGCCGACGGTGATAGCCTCAGTTCCGACAGTGAATCTTGCCCAAATCTATCAAAAGCGGCAACACATAACAGTCAATCATCAAGTCGTCATAGCAATACTAACACAGTTCAACCAAATCCATACAATTCACGACCATTATCTATGAAGAAAACCACTTCACAGGAAAAAGGTACAATTTTCAGAAGAGAACTATGTCACGTTACTTTTAAAATTTTGGTTCGATTTTTTGTTGTTCAACTTTTTTCGTAAACTCTCAAAATTGAAATGAGTCCAATTTCGCCAATTAAAATGAGTCTGAAAATATGGTTTTCGTTTCCACGATAGTTCGATCATCAGCTTTAACATTGGACGCATTGAAAACGGACGACGATCCAAAGGAGATTGACTTCTTCACGAAACAGGCACGACTTCAAATTGAAGCAAGAATGGCTCTAGCTCAAGCCAAGGTAATCGATCATCGAGTATTTTCGTTAGATTTTTGGTTTTAAATGCGCAAAAAAAACATGATATTCGTACTAGTATCCCTTTTAACAATGTTTTTTTTTTTTAATTTTTTAGGATATTGCACACATGCAAATGGAGGTAACTGAAAATTCGACTTGAGATTGTAATTAAGACTCAAAATGTACTAATTCCTTTTTTTTTCTCGTTTTTTAGATGGAACGTCAAAAGCAAATGGAATCGCCAATAACCAATATGATTCGTGGTACAATTGAAAAAGTTGGATATAATTTTCCAGTGGGTAAACGTCGTGTATCACGTCAAATGTTAACCGACATGAATTTGACCCAACTGCAAATCATCGTAAATGAATTTCATACACAAATCGAAAGTCTGAATGAGCAATTGGTCAAATACTTAATGGATCGTGACGATTTACACATGAGTCAGGATTCAATGCTCGTCGACATTGAAGATTTAACTCGATATTTGTAAGTGATTCAAAATCATCGTAATTTGTGTTCATTTCATCACTCTATCAAATATTCTCACTACATCCAACTTTCATTGATGTGTCTGTCGGAGTCTTTCATATTTCATATGCTTATGTGATCATAATATCCACCATCAAAATTCCAAAACAAAACCAAAAGTTTTGGATTCTTTTTTCACCTGAAGCACGCATTCATTTCAATTCAAAGAGTTTTTTTTTCCATATTTTTCTATTCCATTTGTCGTTCATCATTTTGTCACTTGTCTTTATGTTTTTTTCCATAAGTTTTCACTTACATTGATTTTTACGCAATGATTTCATTTTCAATTTCGTTTATTGTTTATGTTTTTTCTGTTTTTTTTCCCGATAATTTCTGTTCGTGTCCGATTTTGGTCGGGGCAGAGGTGCAAAAAAGGATCCATTCGCTGAACGCAAAACAACTAAGAAATACCATTCAATGAAATCGCCCAAATATATGGTTTCAAAAAAGATCCAGCCGCAACCGAGATTAGCTAGTCAAATTGGAAAGTCTTAAACACAAAAAAAATAAAGGGGAATAGGCGGAACGATTGAATTTCCTAGCAAAAATTGGTTCAACATTGGTTGTTAAAAATACGTAGAGAAAAAAAAGAAAAATTTGCTGAATTGAAAATCTGTTTTATTTTTCGATATCATTTAATGTTATTATAATAAATTTAAGCACATTTAGATAGATTGATTCCGTTCCTGATTAGATGGCATTTTAAGTTTACTATACAATTTTTCTTCTTTTGTTTTCCAAATAAAATTGCTTTTTCGTCGCATTTTTATTGATCAATTCTATTCTATTTTTCAAATATTCGTGTTATACATATGTGCAACAATATGATTTCTAGATGGGTCAAAGATATTAAATCACCATCGCAAAAAGTGCAATTGAAATAGTGCTCTTTTTCAGAGTGAGACCGACAAACGTAAACGTAAAATATGTAGTTACGCTTCATCTTATGGACAGAATACAGAAATCATCGTTCACACCTAAGAAACGTGCACGTTGGGCAAGCAGCTGAACTGTAAATAGTATCCAATAAAATAATAAACACCTTTAACTTTATTATCATTCATCTGTTATTCAACTATTTAATATCAATTCAAACCGGATAAATCTAGTTCCTCCATTCTTCAACATTCCGAATTCAATTTTTAAAGAAAAAAAACTCGACCGTGTTACGATATCGATATTTTCAAAAGAAATACCTTTCCCGGAAAAGTAAAAAGACTCCTTTTTCTAAGGAAATTCTGAACGAGACTATGTTATCAAAGAAAATCAAAGACTGTTTCTCAGAGCAGAATATGTGAGGAGGAGCGCTCTGAGAAGCAGAGCTCCCGTCAGTAGGAGAGGACCTCTTGTTCCCCACCGAACAGGAGCTCTGCCTTTCAGAACGCACCTCCTCACATATTTCGCGCTGAGAAACAGTCTTTGAAGAAAATTAAGAGACAAAATGACATGAACATGAACAACTACCGTTAACATGAATAAATGAAAAAAAAGAACCGAAATAAACAAAAATATAAAAACTGCATGAAATGGTCTTCGAATTTTCATCGAAAACATATGATCGTAACACGGATTCTACTAGTAGATTTCAACGTTCCTATCATGTTCCTCTTTTTTTAGAGTTTCCGGTTAAAATCATTTCGTTTTATTTTCATCCATTTCAATCTAAACATCAACTACATAACAATTATTATTCAACGATGTTCTATTCAAATTTGTATGCCCCAGGGATTGTTCCTCTGAGGAGGATGAATGGTGAGGAGGAAAATGAGGAGGAGGAGGAGAGCGAGGAGGATCCTCCTCCTCAACTGAGGAGGAAAA